GAAGAGAGAAGGTCATCACACATAACCCCAAATCAACATGAAAACAAAACTGATTAAGGGTAAGGTCAGGCCCAGTGGTGGCTCATGCCTGTAATCCTGGCACTATGGGAGGCCAAGGCAGGAGGATCGCTTGAGCCCAGGAAATTTGAGACTAGCCTAGGCAACATAGTGAGACCCTGTCTCTACAAAAACTTTAATTCACAAAATTAGTTGGGTGTGGTGGCATACATCTGTAGTCCCAGCTACTCAGGAGGCTGAGGTAGGAGGATTGCTAGAGCTCAGAATATTGAGGTTTCAGTGAGCCGTGATTGTGCTGTTACACTCAAGCCTGGGCAATAGAGCAAGAACCTATCTCAAAAACTAAAAAATAAAAAAACCAAAAAGAATGAGATCAAGTGGTAGGTAAATGACACGTGGCCTTCTTTCTGCTAAGTCAGCCCTGCCCTCCCCTATGTTACTAGGGATCCTGACTCCTGCAGGCAGGACCCAGTAATGATCATTTTACCAACAACTGTGTTGCTAGTACAATTAATATCCTTTCTTCTTAAAGTACCTTTCACATAACTTATGTTCTGTAAAATATTACTAAGTATACAATGAAAGGGAAAAGAAAGCAAGCCAATGTTTCACGCTTTAAATTAGGAAATGCTGTTTTAGACAGCATTATACTTTTTTTTTTTAAACTACAGAACTTCCCAGGGGCTTCAATAAGCTCATGTACTTTGAATCCCTAGGATATGATTTTCGTACAGAGCACGTCCAGGTTTATTTGATCATAGACTCTTTCAGAGAGCAACAGTTGCAGTTCACGTTTCATGTAATATTTTTGGGTGCTACTATTTGAGGAATCCTACATCTACAGTTTCAGCAATGCTGCACATGCGCGTGGGCGCGCGCGTGTGTGTGTGTGTGTGTGTGTGTGTGTGTGTGTGTGTGTGTGTCTCTGGTATTAACTGGTGCAATTAGAAAGAAGAATCCACTCCTTGGTGTATTAGTTTCTGATAGCTACTATAATAAATTAGCACAAACTTAAGAGGCTTAAAACAACACAAATACATCACCTTATAGTTCTATATGTTAGAAGTCTGACATAGGACTCATGGGCTAAACTCAAGGTGCTGACAGGGCTGTACTCCCTTCTAGAGGATCTAGGGAGAATCTGTTCCTTGCCTTTTCCATTTCCAGAGGCTTCCCACATTCCTTGGCTCATGGCCCACTTCCTCCATCTTCAAAGCCAGCGACATTACATCTCTCTGATCATTCTTATGTCGTTATGTCTCCCTCTGATCACAGTCAGGGAAAGTCTTCAGCGTTTAAAGATTGACTTTAAAGATTCATGTGATTAGATTAGGCCCACTTGGACGGTCCAGGATAATCTCCCCATGTCAACATCAGCAAAGTCCCTTTTTGCCATGTAAGGCAACATATTCACAGATTCTAGGGATTAGGGTTTGGACATCTTTGGGGGGCATTATTCTGCCTACCACATATGGGTGGGTAAGAATACCCTGAGAGTTCCAGCCAGCAAGCAAGGACAAAGAGGGAGAATGAAAGTAACTATTGCCATTGTTTGTGTTCTCCCAATTATTTCTTACAACTTCCCAGTATCAGGGACATGGAAATTACTGTCTTGTTAAGGGATGTATAGCAATAAACAAAATATGGAACATGTTCCCAAGAACTTGGTTCTCTCTTTACAATGCAGAGAAGCAAGCACAAGTGCTCTGTGAATTAGATACTCCACAAACACAGGCAGCTGGCCTCTCAGCAACACTGGCTGCACTTCCCAGTAAAAGGTACATGCCCTTCATCAGCTTTATTGAAGCTGCCCTCACTAAGAAACTGTGCAGACATTATTTCCTATGATGCAGGTCCTATAACTGTCCCATTTTACAGGTGAGAAAGGGAATACTTTCTATGATTATGCTACTTGACAAGGTGTTACTTTCACTGAACCAATAAAATGTACACATCTGAACCCAAAGCTTGATCTGAGTCCTATGTAATGTGCCTATTTGTATGTCTATTTGACAATCCATCTACCTGGACTTCTTCCCCCTTCCAATTCCAACCCAAAGCAAGTTCCTTCCTGTGACTCTATCTGATCTGACAGTCTACATATGTGGTTTTGGGAGTGTCTGCACACGTCTGCATGCTTGTGTATATGTGTTCAGTAACTCTAATTTTTTTCTTCGTGAGGCTTCACATTTTGAATGCCAAACTGATCGTCAATCAGATACGGTGACTTCTGGGTCAGAGGCAGGATACGTACTCAACACACGCCTTAGAGTCATGTCTATTTCAAAACGTGGCTAGATCATCACCTCTGAAACATTGGCAAATTACTTGAGCACCACAAACTTCAGCTTTCTTATCTTGTGAGAAGTCAAAAATAGTATCTGCCTCACAAAGTCACTGTAGAATTAAAAGAGGTGATAGAGATAAAGCACTTGATAGATAATAATCACACAATAACTTATAGTTGATGCTATGATCAATTCCATGCTCTAAAAACGCTATTCAAAGTTCTTGCCTCTCTGAAAGATGCTTAATGACAACTTCTACTTAAATCAGTGACACTAGTATGACCGATACCCATAGCTTAATTCATATTAGGTTAAGGTGTGTTAATACTTTTTTTTTAAAAAAGGCTCTGCCTGCCTGGAGAACTAGGGCCTGATACTTCTTGAAATTCGCTAATCACATCTGGTTTAGCTTTAGACATTTTCTGGGATTTTGCCAGCAGCTACGACACTTTAATGGCTACAATAAACCTCAAAGCCTCATCAAATCTTTGCTGTATGTGTGAAAATTATGTCCTCTTCAATTAAACATTCAATCTCAGCTCACACCAAGGCCTTATGGAAAAGGAGGTGAAACCTGAATGGAAACGTAAGATGAAACGGACCGCCACGATTCTGGTCATCTTGCCAGATGGTATTTAGAAGAAAAAGAAATTCATTAGAGAACTTACGGTGTGTATTTTCTTTAAATATTTACTGGGTACCTTTCATGTGTTGAAAACACTGGCATCTCTAAAGATTAGCAGGGCATTTTTGTTTAAATATTCCATGTGTGTGAGGTGGGGGGAGTCCCTTCCTCATTTGCCCTTGTGGTACTTCATGTGTTTAGGTGAAGCCCGATACAAAGAAGAAAAGGAACAGACAACGTTCAGTTTTCTTTCCTAAGGCCGCTCTACCCGCTTCAAAAGCTCTTGTATTTTCTTAAGATCGGCTGAGGAAAGTGTCAGTTGAGTACTGAGGGTTCCGGAATGACAATTCAGAGCCTCCCTAGACAAAAGAAGATATACCAAAGTGAGGCACTATGGGGGAACCCTTGCCTCTCCACTCGCCTCCCAATTCACTCCTCTTATCCTCTTGCTATTTATCATCAAATGTACAGGGACGTCAAAGGGAGGCAGCCCCTGGAAGGAGAAGGGAAAAGATCAAACAGGGATCAAGTTTCGGCTCAAAGACTACAGGAGAGGTCAGGCCAAGGGTTTCACAAGGGGCCTAGAGACAAGAGGGAATGGGCATTTAGAAACGGCCACGGAGCAAAGAAGCTCCTCTGCCATTGCTAACTCTTGCTGCCACACCGAGGACTAGCCTGGGCCCTAATTCTACCACTGGAGAGGGACAGACAGAAATGCTACGTGGTAGCTTACTACGCTTTATTACAATAGTAATCAAGCTCCTCAACTTCAACAAGGATACAACTGCCAGTTCTTCAGGAGAGAGAAAATAATGACCACAAGTTCACATATCACATTTCTAAAGGAAGCATCCATTTGGTTGAATTCATTCAACCACATCAATGGGAGGAAAAAAAACCCACATGCTCCTTTAAAAATAATATACAAGATAAAAATATTCACTTGTAACCATTATCCTTTCCATGTAAGTTTTATGCCCAACGTAAAAATAAATGGCTCTCTTTGCCACCAGGAGTACATCTTTCCCACTTTACTTCCATTTCCAAGCTGTTCTCGGCCTCAGACTTCGGTTTCTGAGTACTCTTTCACAATAAACATTTTTAAAATGTTTACTTTATGTCTTGGTGTTAAAATATTCCTGGTTGAAGCCCTTCATTTCCTCAAGCTCTGCTTCTGGCACTCTGGGCTCCATTTCCACATTAACACGCTCCCTAAATCCTCCGCAGAGCTCTTCAACTGGAGTTATACAAGCTCCAAGGCAAGTATTTATATTCTTGGACAAGGAGATGTCTCCACAGTGAAAACACAAGACTCTAGAAATGCCAAAGGAAAATTCCTGCCCAAGTGAGACATATTTTCACCTTTTAAAAAAGCCAAAAAGGGGCTTTCAGCATTTTCTTTTGAATAATTAAAAATGCAAATTAAACTAAAATGGAATGTTTACTGTGGGCCTTACCATCATTATTAGACTCATATATAAACCAAACATACAGGAACATGTATGTGTGTATGTGTGTAACATGTGTGTGATATATATACTTAAAGCAGCAGAGTAAACTAGCTAATGTGTGAGTTCTAGAAACAAGAAACTAGAAAATGTGTGAGTTCTAATTGGATAGACTTGATTAGACTTGATCAGAGTGCAGTAAATCTGTCTCTTACTGGCTGTGTGAACATAACTTCTCTAAGCCTCATTTCTCTCATCCGTAAAATGGGGCTGGTGTAGTTCCAGCTTATTAAGATTGTTATATGACACAACAGGAAGCATCCAGTAAATGGTTACTGCTATTATCATTAATAATGTTATAACTACTAAATGTTAGAAAACGTAGATGTAACAAGATATGGATATAAGAAACAAATGATCGACACTAATGAAAGAGAAGAATTTGAAAATACGGTGCCTCTACACACTGTGTAGACTCAGAAAGTTTCGTGAAAGCTGTGGTGTACCGTCACTGAACTCTGCACCAATCCCACTCTATGAGCCAGACCTAAATAATCCTCTTCAAACATTTTTAAAAAGTAGTCTTAGCTATCATCATAATAACAGAACAGTTCCTACTACCTTCTAGTTGCCTCTTCAGTTTTCTCAAATCTTTTATGAGGTCTTCAAACTTGACTTGGGAGGCCAGAAAGAAATCCTGTGGTTCCGGCAGGGGGAAAACACTCTTTTCTGTTCCAGCTTCCTAAGAGATATGGTAAACAAAAGTACATTATACTTCCCAATTGTCACTGTCAGTTGAAATTCCAAAGCATCAGTGAGAGGATAAAAAAAAAAAAGCTTCTTTATTAGATGTCTGAATAAGAATCACAGCAATGCTCCTCTGCTATTCCTAAATTTGGACTTGTGACTTTGAAGTGCTTTCTTGTCTTTCACAGTATCTTTTTGGACTTATCGGCAATGAGGTCGGCTATGGCACGGGCCACGTTCTATTTTGCCTCATGAATCAAAGAGAAAATTGTCAGGTCTGTCCTGATCTTGGACGCTCTACTCCCATGAAAAATGGAACAGGGGAACACATGAAAGTACTTACATTTGAAGTCCCCGTTTGATTTACACATGCTAGCAATTAGACAAGTCATCTTTGGGGTATGCCAATGGGTGTGAATCAGAAGGTGCTGGATAAGAAGGCACTGCAATGGAAGATATAAACACCCTCCCATCACCTTTCCTCACCTTCCTCTGTGACTTAAAGCTCTTCTGTGTGTATTATGCATGACCAAATTCTTTGTATATGGGTGTATATACACATATACACTGTGTTTTTTGTTGTTTTTTTTTTGAGATAGGGCCTTGCTTTGTCACCCAAGCTTGAGTGCACTGACACAATCATGGTTCACTGCAGCCTTGACCTCCCAGGCCCAGGTGATCCTTCTAGTTCAGCCTATTAGCTGGGACCACCGGTACGTGCCACCATATCCAGCTAATTTTTAATTTTTTGTAGACACGGGGTCTCACCATGTTGCCCAAGCTGGTCTCTAACTCCTGGGCTCAAGCGATCCTCCAGCCTTGGCTTCCCCAAAACTCTTCATATATTTGAAAAGTTTTTGCAAATGTTGTTGGGCTTACCTTAGGAGACTGAGGGCAGGGAGGGGTATAGTTTTAACAAGCTCCACTGCTATACCTGATAGAGGACTCTCAGCTGAGAAACGTCTTGAAGGACAAAAGCTTCAGGCACAATGAAACATAAGCTGAACCTCAAATATCTTTTCCAGACTAGCTAGCTTTCTCCCTGAGTTGTTTAATGTACATTTTGTATCTTGCATGTCTTAGGCAGTCTTCAATTATGTCTCTCTCCGCACAGGCTACTTTGCCAGTTTTCCTTCACATTCCATCTTCCCTACTGCCATTAGGACTAATTCCAAACTCTAAAACTGCTTTACAAGGCACTTTATGATCTGGCCTCTGTCTACATCTCTGGCCTCATTTCTACCTTCTCCCTATCTCCAACTCCCTCTAGACCTTCATGAAATAGACCACGATCTCTGACTTCTAGGCCTTTGTCTATAAAACGGTCCCTTTCTGACCCTTCCCTAGTGCCTCCTTACACTTCCTTGTTCATACTCATCTTGTAAGTCTTAAAACAAACGTCCTTCCTTAAAGATTTCCCCTAACCCCCAGCACGTGGGTGTTTCTCCCCTGTTCCCCACAGGCTTATGACGCTTATATTATCACAGCATTTATCACCATTAATTTTTTTACCATAAGTTATTGGGGTACAGGGGGTATTTGGTTGCATGAGTAAGTTCTTTAGTGGTGATTTGTGAGATTTTAGTTCACCCATCACCCAAGCAATATACACTGCACCCTCTTTGTAGAATTTTATCCCTCATCCCCCTCCCACTCTTATCCCCAAGTTCCCACAGTCCACTGTACCATTCCTATGCCTTTGCATCCTCAGAGCTTAGCTCCCACATATCAGTGAGAACATACGATGTTTGGTTTTCCCTTCCTGAGTTACTTCACTTAGAATAATATTCTCCAATCTCATCCGGGTCGCCGAAAATGTTGTTAATTCATTCCTTTTTATGGCTGAGTAGTATTCCATTGTATATATATATCACAGCTTCTTTCCCACTTTGATTGATGGACATTTGGATTGGTTCCATGATTTGCAATTGTGAACTGCACTGCTATAAACGTGCGTGTCCAAGTATCTTTTTCATGTAATGACCTATTTTCCTCCGGGTAGATACCCAGTAGTGGGATTGCTGGATCAAATGGTAGTTCTACTTTCAGTTCTTTAAGGAGTCTCCACACTGTTTTCCATACTGACTGTACAAGTTTACATTCCCACCAGCAGTGTAGAAGTGTTCCCTGATCACTGCATCCATGTCAACATCTGTTTTTTGATTATGGCCATTCTTGCAGGAATAAGGTGGTATCACATTGTGGTTTTGATTTGCATTTCCCTGATCATTAGTGATGTTGAGCATTTCTTCATATGTTTGCTGGTCATTTGTATATCTTCTTTTGAGAATTGTCTATTCATGTACTTAGCCCACTTATTGATCAGATTGTTTTTTTCTTACTGATTTGAGTTCATTGTAGATTCTGGATATTAGTCCTTTGTCAGACGTATACATTGTGAAGATTTTCTTCCACTCTGTGGGTTGTCTGTTTCTTTTGCTGACTGTTCCTTTTGAGGGGCAAAAGCTCTTCAGTTTAAGTCCCAACTACTTATCTTTGTTTTTATTGCATTTGCTTTTGGGTTCTTGGTCATGAAACCTTTGCCTAAGCCAACATCAAGAAGGGTTTTTCCACTGTTATCTTCTAGAATTTTTAGTTTCAAGTCTTAGATTTAAGTCCTTAATCCATCTTGAGTTGATTTTTGTATGAGGTGAGAGATGAGGATCCGGTTTCGTTCTCCTACACATGGCTAGCCAATTATCCCAGCAACATTTGTTGAAAAGGGTGTCCTTCTCCCACTTTATGTTTTTGTTCGCTTTGTCGAAGATCAGTTGGCTGTAAGTATTTGGGTTTATTTCTGGTTTCTCTATTCTGTTCCACATAGAATTCCATCCCTATTCTATTCTATGTGCCTATTTTTATACCAGTACTACACTGTTTTGGTGACTATGGCCTTATAGTATGGCTTAACATCAGGTAGTGTGATGCCTCCAAATTTCTTCTTTTTGCTTAGCCTTGCTCTGGCTATGTGGGCTCTTTTTTGGTTCCATATGAATTTTAGAATTGTTTTTTCTTTTTTTTGAGATGGAGTCTTGCTCTGTCGCCCAGGCTGGAGTGCAGTGGCACGATCTCGGCTCATTGCAAGCTCCGCCTCCCGGGTTCACACCATTCTCCTGCCTCAGCCTCCCGAGTAGCTGGGACCACAGGTGCCCGCCACCACACCCAGCTAATTTTTTTTTTTTTTTTTTTTTAATTTTTAGTGGAGACGGGGTTTCACCATGTTAGCCATGATGGTCTCGATCTCCTGACCTCGAGATCCGCCCGCCTCGGCCTCCCAAAGTGCTGGGATTACAGGCGTGAGCCACTGTGCCCGGCCTAGAGTTGTTTTTTCTAATTCTGTTAAGAATGATGGTGGTGTTTTGATGAGGATTGCACTAAATTTGTAGATTGCTTTTGGCAGTATGGTCATTTTCACAATATTGATTCTACCCATCAATGAGCATGGGATATATTTCCATTTGTTACTGTTGTCTATGATTTCTTTCAGCAATATTTTATAGTTTTCCTTGTGGAGGTCTTTTGACTCCTTAGGTATATTACTAAGTGTCTCTGTGTGTGTGTGTGTGTGTGTGTGTGTGTGTGTGTGTGTGTGTGTGTGTGTATATATATTTGCAGTTATTGTAAAAGGGGTTGAATTCTTGATTTGATTCTCTGCTTGGTCACTGTTGGTGTATAGAAGAGCTACTGATTTGTGTACATTAATCTTGTATCCGGAAACTTTGCTGAATTCTTTTATCAGTTCTAGGAGCTTTCTGGAGGAGTCTTTAGGGTTTTCAAGGTAAACAATCATATCGTCAGCCAACAGTGACAGTTTGACCTCCTCTTTACTGATCTGGATACCCTTTATTTCTTTCTCTTGTTTAATTGCTCTGGTTAGGACTTCCAGTACTATGTTGAAGAGGAGTGATGTGAGTGGGCATCCTTGTCTTGTTACAGTTCTCAGAGGGAATGCTTTCAACTTTTCCCCATTCAATACTATGTTGGCTGGGGGCTTGTCATAGATGGCTTTTATTACATTAAGATACGTCCCCTGTATGCAGATTTTGCTGAGAGTTTTAATCATAAAGTGATGCTGGATTTTGTTGAATGCTTTTTCTGCATCTATTGATATGATCATGTGATTTTTGTTCTTAATTCTGTTTATGTGGTGTGTCACATTTATTAAATTGCATATGTTAAACCATCCCTGCATCCCTGGTATGAAACCCACTTGATCATGGTGGATTATCTTTTTGATATATTGTTGGATTCGGTTAGCTAGCATTTTGTTAAGGATTTTACCATCTATGTTCAACAAGGGTATCAGTCTGTAGTTTTCGTTTTTGGTTATGTCCTTTCCTGATTTTGGTATCAGGGTGACACTGGCTTCATAAAATGAATTAGGGAGCGTTCCCTCTTTCTCTATCTTGTGGAATAGGGTCAAAAGGATTGGTACCAATTCTTCTTTGAATGTCTGGTAGAATTCTGCTGTGAATCCACCTGGTCCTGGACCTTTTTTTGTTGGTAATTTTTAAATTATCATTTCATTCTTGCTGCTTGTTATTGGTCTCTTCACGGTATCTAATTCTTCCTGACTTAAGATAGGAGGATTGTATTTTTCCAGGAATTTATCCATCTTTTCTAGGTATTCTAGTTTATGTATCACCATTAATTTTTAAATTGCCATGTTATCTTGTACGTCTTCCCCACTAGACTCTAAACACCTCAGAGGCAGAAACTGTGTCTTGTTCTTGGTATAGTAAACAACATCTGGCATATCAACAAGCTTTATTTTTGGTTGATGGGCACTACTACAGAGGGCCTATAAAACATGGTTCTGAGATGTATGTACCTTTAGCAGGAGACATCTAATTTATCACTATGTTTTCTTGTGGTTTCAGGAATCCTCTTGACCCTTCCTCCTTAAGGTCACTAGCTTCATTAGGGATGCTAGGAAATGGTAGTTTTCTTCATTTTATTAGACACAATATACTTTTTTCCTCCCATCTTCATATA